CATCGGGGGGAATGAACGAGGAAGCCGGCCAACACTGTCGGCTGCTCACAACGCACCCTATTTCCGGACTAGTCAGGTCAGGTCCGAGTCATCAGAGACACATCTTGAAAGGTCCCCTTTGTTATTTGACAGACACGATATGATTTTACCAGATTTTCGATATATGCGTCGATTTTGGGCCTTCAAACATAGCTGCGGGCGAGAGCTTTCAATCTAACCGTAGCAGGATGAGCATTATGCAGATATCTAAAGCTAACCTGTCAGCCTTGTAGTAGCACCACTGCACGACTGTCCCATTAGATGCATCCTATTGTAGACTAAATTCGTTCTGATAGCTGTAGAATTGCTCAAAATCAGGCGAGGTAGAGGACAGTCAGTGAGATTGCAAGCATCTTTTCACCCCGATTTAAAAGAGGGTCTCTTGATGTCTGCTGCCTAATTGATTGGCAAGTTACCGGTGTGCTGAATAAGTTCTGCAAAATATGATGTGATGAGTGAATGCGCGATGGCAGTGCGGGCAGTGAAGACGGTGGTCTCTGCTATAGATTGGTGCTCCAGACACTGTTTCATCAGTCTCTGTGCAATTGATTCGTAAGTGACCAGCCAGGCCGATGCGTGAGGCGAATGTGCGACTGCAGTGAGGACACGATAGATTGGTGAAGGTTGGGGTTGCAGAGCTGGGAGTCGCAGTAGGGAGGATGGTGTCGGCGGATAAGGGCAACAGATGCTTGAGCTTCCGTACTAAGGGTGGTCGTCGACGAAGTGCAGGACACGGGAGGGACTGCTGAAGTGATTGACGCCGTAGAAATAGATGCGATCGGGGGGATGATGCACTGCGTACGGAGATGATCGACCAGGCTGATGTGTGCACGGAAGGTGCGTTGACAGCGCTGTCAGATTAGAAGAGCTTGGGTATTGACAGCGTGTATACGGCTCGTTTGGCGGCGGCAATCCGACTTACTTTCGTAGATAGCTGCACCGGTTTTTGCCGTTCTTCGCCAAGCAGATCGGTCCTGCGCGAGTACCCACCACGTCACCGTGTTGATTTGAAAACGCTTAAGGGAGTTCTTCAGAGTGTCCTTGTAGCGCCTTTTTGTCCTCTTTGCAGCGAGCACCCACAGCGGTCTTGTACATCTTCAGTTTCCTGGACAGCTGGAGACCGAGACGATTCCACATAGGTGCTTGAAGCCGACCGAAGGCTTGACTGGCTTTGGAGGTCCGTCGAGCAACCTACTCATCGATTATTTTGTTGCGGGATAGCGTGCTGCCGAGATATCCGAAGTTCTCCACGCTGTTGAGCTCCGCCCCGTTGACCTTTATACGTTGAGTAGCGTAATTAGCAGCGGACGGCTGTTGGTGCATGAGCACAGTTTTATTGGTGTTGATGGTAAGACCGAAGTTTGAGCAACCGGCGGCAAGGAGTTCCATATTCCTTTGTATGTCAGCTTCTGTTGTGATGTTGAGAACGTAGTCTTCGGCGAAAAGCAGATCATGAGCTGTGGTCGTGGAGACGCGCGTGGGGGGTTGCATTCGTCACATGTTGAGAAGATGCCCGTCCGTTCTGTAATTGTTGCGACTCCCCGGTCGCTCGTCACAGTAGGCCTCCAGCAGCATGACAGAGAACATGAGAGTGGAGAGGGTGGGCGCGAGGACACAGCCCTGCTTCACCCCACTTGTCACAGGTAAGGCTTCGGAAAACATCCAGTTGTCCGTGACTCTCGCAATCATCCTGCCGTGGAGCTGACCTAGCATGTGGATGAAGTGCTCCGTAGAGCCGAATTTCTGGATGACTTTCCATTATT